AGATGCTTTTCTTCTTGAAAGTGTAATCAAATATATAATTGTAGCACTGTGTAAAACTAGACGCATTAGGTTTGCGGGTTTTAGTTTATTTTGAAATCAATAGAACACATGCTTTTGGTCGCAGATGAGTTATTCATGTTTTGTTCTAGAATTGGCTAGCAAGGGCGCTCTATGCGTTTTGTCCAAGACACCCCGTTGTTTCAAATTGAAGGAATACACCTCGCGAAACAAAATATAGGTCAGTGCATGATGGAATGTAAGCACTGCAATACACTGGGAATGTTTCTGGGAATTGATTGCCTGTGAGACTGAATAAAACTAAATGCTATGTAGCGGGGAGGTTTAATAAACACTACAAGTCATAATAAGTTTGTATATTCCGTCTATTCGAAATAATAGTTAAATTCCAGTTATTACCCACAGTTTGTTAAAATTGCTTCTTTGATTTGTGTTTGTGTAAGACAATCAGTCCATTTTCTGATGTTACTGAAAGTAGAAACGTTAACAGGAACAACAATAAACTGAATTATATTCCTTCTAGCTGAAACATTTAATCTAATCATTCGTGTTCTTAAGGGTTGTAGCAACCCCTTGTAAATGTTCATGAAAATTAGAACACATGTTTCAGGTCATGCCTTCAACTATTAAAGTAGTGTTAGTCCTAGTGGTTGGAATGACCTTGCCGATGTCAATAAAGGGATGGATTTCCCAACCAGTTTAGAAAGTTTTGGGCGCCATTACAGAGCCTGTGCAGGAACCGAAGTTGCTTCTTGAGAACGCTTTGAAAAGGGATGCTTAACGACCTTAACCGTTGCATTACGCCGCGATGCAAAATATGAAAGTGTACATTTTTAAGCGTTTATATAATTATCTCTGCCATACTGCCGAAGTTCACGTGATATTCAACATCACTCTTATAGCGTACGCAAAGGCCCTGCTGCATCGAGATGGCATCTCGTCAGTTCTAGTGAAATAACAGGTTTGTAATTGATGTGCAACAAAGCATGCTATTCTAACTGCACATGTACTTTGATAGCAAATCTTCCCTCAAAGCTTCGCAGTGAAAGCACAAGCGGTAGAACTGACGCCAGCATTGAAACCACAGGGCGCACGTAAACTGTGCAAGAACCTGAAATAAATAATAAGTTAAAAAACAATGTGCACCTTTTATTTAGGCCGCCCGATCTGCTCCGCATGTCCAATCTCTGGGGTCCAATCCAGTCCAGTAGAATACTTCCTTTGCAGAGTGTCAGTGGCCCTGCTATTGTTAGAAACATTTTCCGAGAAAAATAGTCTTTGTTCACTAATAAAGATCTAGTTTCTTGGGCCTTGTGATTGCTGGAAAGAGGCGCTCTGAATCTGACAAATGCTTTGTGAGAAAAGCATTTGTTCGGTCCTGAGTAATTAATGAGAATCACCGCATGTTATTACCAATGTTGGATTATCAAGAAACAAGCCCTTCAG